ATATATATGAAATGACATTTCATGATTAACAGGTAGAGAGCCAATAATATGACAAAGATTGTCAAAACAAACTAGTCACTTAATGGTTAATCAAAATTTAGTAATATCCAATTTGACATAGAATTTTACTTGTCTAATTAAATGTTAGTAAAGACTCACCAAAATTTTTTTACTTTAACACTAAAATATCTCTTTAAATAAAATTATAAGAAATGATATACATAGTGGCATACAAATATCTATATAAATATAATATATGTAGGTATTATTTTATTTAACATATAATTACAATCAATCTTAGTGTTGATTTTAAATAAAATTCAATAACATATACTGTGTCTCACTATAATTTATACCAGTGTTTTAAAATTTGGTTTGGACCAGTTGAACCAGAAATTAGTGGTCTAGTCGGTATGAGCCTTGAATTGGGATCAGTTATGCATTTGACTCATTTTAAATCAGAATGAATCGGTCAATTTTCCAGTTCAACTAATGAACAGGTGGATCAAACTGGTTCAACCACAAACTTTTTTTTAACAAACCACAAACCACAAAAATAACAATCGAAATTGAATGCTGTTAATTAAAGAACAAAAAATCTTATCAAACATAATAATGACTACTTATTCTAATGTATTTGTTTATAATATATAAAACTTAAATAATTTTTTATAGTATATTATTAATTTTAATTATATATTTAATAATGTCATATCTATATAGATATTACATATATTATTTTGTGATATCAATTGCAAGTTTATTATATATGTACATATTATTTATATTTTTAATTTGTATTAATATACAATTTAACATGTAATCTTTTTATATATTTTTTTATACAAAATAAAAATAAAGATAATTTTAAATAAGATGGAAATTGAAATTTAAAATAGGATATGAATTTATTGAAATTTATAAGTATAACATAAATATTTATTTTAAAAAATTAATAAAAGTCAGGTCATGTGGTTAAATTAATGACCTACTGGTTCAACCTTTAACCCACTGACCTAATACCCTAATCGGTTTGATGACCAATCCATTTTTAAAACTATGATTTATATTTATCCATTTTAACAACATATCAACATATATCATATTTACAATGTAGATAAAACTAATTTTTAATGATAAAAATTATTTTATTATATAGCATGTATCACTAAATAACAATATTTTTGGAGTAAAACGAATATATATATATATATATATATATTCTCTTTTTAGCATCTCTTTCGTCACAATATTAATTTTCATTTTATATTAAATATTGTTATTTATAATGATTCAAAATGAAATTTGTAATGGTTGACCCAAACACAGTTCTCGCTCTTATCACTCTCATGATATTACGTTACGGCCTCATGGATCTCACCTTCGTCATCAGTGTTTTTTTTTTTTTTTAAATTCTCAGGACATTGATATGGAGAGACATCAGGTATGACAGATACTAGAAATCATCCATAAAGGAACGGTTAGTTAATTTATTAGTTTAACCCAATATCTAGTTTTTTTATTTTTTTATTTTTTTATGTTTGTTAAATTGTTACCAAAGAAAAATGTTTTTCAAAAATTAGTTTGTGTTTATGAGTAATATTTTAAAATAGATTTTAAAAAATAATTTTATTTCAATAAAAATTAAGTAATTAAAACATTTTCAAAGTATAAGTATAATATATAATATATATTACATATATTTTTTAAATTTATTCGTTAAATTAACTATATTTAGAAATTTCAATTTATTTACATTATAATTAATTTAGGAAAATTGCAAGACGTAACAAAACTAACAATCAAATTAATTATTAAGATTAGTGTAGTGATTAGATGAGAAAAAATTATAATAATTAAAAGTATGAAGATTATTTTTATAATTTTTCTTATATTTATAAAAAATAAAAATAAAAATAATTAAGAACCGAATTAAACGTGATTATGATTGGTAATCGAAAGAAGCAGAAAGTTAGTGAAATTAAAGTATAGCAGAGTGGAATTATATGATGTGAGAAGTGGTAGTTAGAATTAAGAAATGAAAGCATTATGAAAAGACAATGGGTAAAGGATGATGAAAAGGTAAAATAAAACATTCTCCGTAGAATGTAAGCATTATGTAGAAGTGAGTGATGAATTAAGAATGAGGTAAAGCATCTGACTCTGAGCAACTTGTCTTTGGTCCACTAAAATAGGCGCGCCTACACCAGATCTTTCCGATACATTGAATGTAGACAAGATTTTCAAGACAACACTAAAAGTCTAAAACCCTAACCCCCCACATTGAATCAGAGATTACGAGAAAATGAATGACATGGAAGCCATACAATGTTGCGTAAGGATTACACAGATCACCCCATTTTAATTTCGATACCACATGTCTCCATAAACATATAACTATATTCAATGAGTGCTTTATATTTACAAATATTAATATTAGTAGAAAAATAAATTCTATCATCATTACGACATAATTTATTATTATCAATAATTATTTAATAATAATTATTTTTTTATTTATATTTTATTATATTGGTCACTGAAAATATATTTATATCATATCAAAATTTACTATTAGAAATAATTATTTATTGAAAAAAACTTAAGTCTCGATTAGAGATAAGATAATTAAAGATTATATAAACAAATGATAATTCTTACCTTACAAGTTTATTTTGTATGATTCAAATAGACCTATAACTTACTATTCTAAGTTGGTATCAAATTACTCACCATTATCAAACTCAATAATTTTAAATTTGAGGGATGTATTAGAAAAAATTTAAATCTTACATAAACTATTTTATAAAATATATAAGTAGAGAATACAAATCTTACAATAATTAAAGATAAAATAATTAAAAAATATTTGTACTTATCTTACAAGTCTCGCAATAACTTAAAATAAAATAATTAAAAAATATTATGATGCAATAATTTTTATTGATCATATTAAATACTATTAAAAGTACATTTTGTTGTAATACATATTAAATTATTTTAGATCTACAACGATTCCCGCTAATACAATATTTTAACACCTTTAACATTGGTTGTTTATTCATGTTAAAAGTCACATATAACATCGATTAATTTAATTGATGTAGAAATCTATAAAAATAAAAATAAAAAATTAATGGCAGTGGTGCCACATCCCGAGTCACCGTGAATGCACTTTCTGGCGTATAAAAATGTTGTAATTGGTAGATGTGACATACTACTTTTTCACTAGTGTTTTGGTGAGCCCAAACTCGTTCAATTAACATAGTGGTTTTGCATCTTACATTTACACTTTGTCCAAACCATTTATGCCAAAATTCTTTGAGTTAACAATAATTATACTACCGTGAGTAAGATTAATTAATCTCTATCAGTATAATAAAGGAAAAAAATATTCAAAGTTTACAAAAAAAAGGACCTTTATGAAAATTTAGAGTAAAATTATAATTTGGTGTTTATTATCCAAGTAAGATTAGTTTTCATGTTTGACAAAAATATTCTTTAGTAAAAAAAATTAAAATTTTAAAAAAAAATTATCAATATTTTTGATATGAAAGTCCTGCAATTACTATAAGTGAGCGTTTAATTTAGTTCGTTTTTAATTTTTTTTTATAAATATTACTACTTTTATTTCTTTTTTTACTTCACAAAATATAATTTTTTTCTAATTATTTAATTATTTAGAAGTTTAAAAAATATTAGTTATGATTTTTAATCTCTTTATTACTATTAATTAGGGTTCATTAATGTAAGTATTTAGCAATGAATATTTTTTTGCTAAGAAATTAAAGCTTCTCAATTTTGGATGTTTAAAATCATGTTTAAAGATAGATATTAATACATTTTTTCTTATACCCTTATGTCACCTAGTAAATAACAATGAGAGTATGTATAATACTCTATATATTATTAATGCGAGCAATAAATCTAAAATCTAACTAAAATATTATTAATACTTTTTTATGCTTCTAAGATTAAATGTATTTATTCAATTTCTTTTTTATAAGATATTTGGAGAATTAATGAGAAAATATTATAAAACGATATAACATTACTTTATGGATAAATAAGAGTAATATTAAAAAATAAAGTTATAACATGAAGTTTCAAAGTAATTTTAAAAATTATTCCGTCCCTATAAATAAGATAATATGTTAGTCCCTATCAATAGATAATGTTTGTTTTTAGTCACTAAATAAATCGTTTCATTTTAGCCATTCATTTATAAATATGTGTACACTGTACACGTAATTTCGTAAGAGAATATTAAGAAAACATCTTAAAAAAATTAAGATCACACTTAATACATTTAAAAAAATATGAGGAATTATATTTAATTAAAATTTTCTTTTACAATTTCATAAACGATACGCAAAATAGAGACATTTTTTTTGTGAATGATAAAAATCATAACTTATACATTTAAAAAAAAAGAAGAGGATTCATAAACACTTTTATATTTAAGACAACTAACCAATTAAACTCTGAAAGTAAAATAAATAAATTTTAAAGATATAACGTGAAGCTTAAAATTAATTAAAAATAAACCAAAAACGTTAATTGCATGTCTTAATCTATGTACCACTAACTCAAATGGATAAATAAATAAAAAAATCAAAGGTCGTATTTTCCCCTTAAAAAGTGACTCCCAAACATGCATGTACAATTTTTTTTTTTTGGCTTTTTGCACATGATTTTTTGGTCTAGAACCCCAAATTTAGACATCACATTATACACTGAAGAGGGTTAAAATTAAACATTATTTATAATTAGTTGAATATGTCTTAAATTTTTTAAAAGTATATAAATTACTTTTCTAAAATTTATGAACGGTATACAATATACACCTTTCTAAATTAGTTTAACATATATATCTATATATAAACTATGAATATAAAAAAGGAACTAATAGTCAATATTTGTTAGTTAACATCATTATGAATTAAATTTTAAATATTTATGACACAATTAATAACTAAGAAAAGTTTGACAATTTACTCTGAATACAAAAACAATTAATCCATAGAAATTAAGGCAAATGTTGTTGGTTATACAGGAACCACTTTAGAGCCAAGACATGCATCTACTGCTTCTCCCACAGAAAGGAAAACTCTTCCTCCAATTTTGCTCACGAAGTTAGCTAATCTTAGTTTGTGAATTACATTCCACCTAGGGTTAGCGATTGCTAACTGAAAAAAATTAGGGATATATAGGAGATGAGTTTATGGCAATCTAGCTTCAGGGAAAAAGATAAAATGTGTGAAATAGATCTATCAATTGCAATTTGCAAGCAACATGAAAAGAAAGTATCACAATTCAATTAAGAAAAAAACTCACCTTTATTCCACGTGAAGTCAAATTTTTATTGAGCTCCATCAAAGAAGCAATTCCCGCGGTGTCAATATTCGTAAGACCTATCATGTTATTTTTCTTTGGTCAGCATCATAAGGGCATTCCTAAATTTAATATGCAAGACCTTAGAACTTGTGCTTAACTCAATTTAAAAAAAAATGATTTTTAATATGAAATTTGTTCTACACTTACATATATTTTGTTTTAGTTACATTACTAAATGATGAAATCTCTATCACAAGATTATATATGTTAAATTAACTTATTAGGTTAATGCGATACTCACTTGAGGCATCCAAAATGACGTGTGTGAAGGTGTTTTCTCCTCCTTTGCCATCCTTGACTTTTTCACTAGTCATCCATCTCTCAATCCTGTTTAATAATAATTTGTACCAAAATTTTCATTAATGTTCAATAATATAGGTAGAGTTTAAATATAAGTCAAAAGTGTTTTTTTGAGAATTTTCCTATAAAAATAAAAAAAAAATTTAATAAAAAAATCTTAAAAGTATTCAACGACTGAAAGTAAGAAATTAAAAGAAAAAGTGCAAATTAAAGTGGTGGTAACAAGAGATACCTTTCTTGTACAAGGTTTGCATTTGCAAAACAAAACCAAGCAGATTTTAAAGAGACAATGAGAACTCCAGGAATGTTGACAGCCATTGGGTATTGTTGAGCATCGCCAAATGCATCCGTTCCTGGAAGCCTTCCAACAAGTGCTATAGCAGGTTGAATTGAGGTTATAATTATCTTCAAAAATGATATCGCGATCTGCACTAGAAGAACAATCAAATATACTATGAGTAATCTATTTTAACACAAGAAACAAACATCTTTCAATCATGAAATGCTATGATTTGCCCTGTTACAGACATTTTATCTCTTTATCTGCCATTCTCAGTATGATACCAACAACTAGTTTTATAAAAACAGTATTTTTATTTTTATTTTTTTTATGTTCGATATTCTTATTATTTAGTCTGTAATTTCATAAATAAATAAATTTATTCATTTTCGAAAGTTCTAAAACTAAATATAAACACTTTAAAGTTAAAACTAACTATTGATGACGGCTAAAAATCATAGACAAAAATGTGTACTGAAGAATATCCGCATTAAAATTATAGGGAAGGGTAATTTATTTTTATATAATTAATTTTTTTAATAAATACTTATTTTTAATATATAAATTATATCATGATTGAAATTCACAATAAATAAATATTTTTTGAATATATAAGTAACATTTTGAATTTATAGTGAATAATTTAAACTGTGGTAAAAAAAATATTCTTAACTATTGATATTTTTTTTATAAAATATATTAAAATTTAATTTAGAAATAAATTAAAGGATAGCATACTGAAATGGATAAGTAATTGAGAAGAACAAATATACAAATAAAGATATAAGATAAGGTAGTTGGAGATGGATGGTTTATATAAAGAAAAACTTTTTGGCTAATTGTATGGAAGTGGTATAATTTTATTCACCATAATTATATTGATGGCAATAAAATTCAAATCTAAATCTTATTTTTATTATTTCAATATTTATTATCTATTATAAGAAATGTTACATATAGTGATATACAAAAAATGTCACTATAGATACAATATATATATATATATATCTATTTGTATATATATATATATATATGATATATAGTTACATATAATTTTAGTGTTGATTTTAAATGAGATTTAACAACATATTTTATGAGTTATTATAGTATATATTCACATTTTTTAACAATATACCAACATATATTATATTTATTATGTGTGTAAAAATAATTTTTAATAACACGTATAGGGTGTGTATTATTATACGACAATCCTCTTGTAATGATTATTAGACCGACCTTAGTATTCTTACGAAAGCATTATATATGAAACATACATTCAAATGAATTAGAGGAAAAGAATGTTAAGAATAAATAATTGAGAGTGAGGAGAACGAGAAGTCTACACTCCAAATTATCTAATATAATTTATAATATAAAAATAATTTAAAAGGGAGGGCATTATAATTTTTTATGATAAAAAAAATGAATGTAACTCGTCCACCTTTAAGAGATGCGATCAATATATTTAATAATTAATTATAACTTACAAAGTAATACTTCCAATATCTAAATAAATGTCATCATGTGTAAATAATTTTCCTCTTTCAAGGCAGAAATGAATTAGTTTAGGTTAGATTTCATCTTTTCAAACCTAAAACTTGAATTTAAGTTGCTTATTTTATATAAGTCTTTCTTTAATACTTGACTTTTAAAAATTAATTAACTTAAAAGCCTTTGAATAAGTTGATAAATATAATTTTAAAGATATTATAAAAATAATATAATAACAACGAAATTATTATCATTATTATTCTTAAAAAAAACAATTCACTCTACTAGATTTAATGGGCATATTGAGTGGTTCAAAACACTTTTTGTTTTAGCTAAATAAGCTTTTAAAATATGTGTTGATTTAATAAATACAGACTTAACTAAAAACTTGCATTATGACCAGTTAAGCCATGAGCCCTCCAATAGATTTTATTTTATATATAACACATGGACCGGGCTAGAAAGCCCAAGAATAATTGAACAAAAACTACTATAGCAATAGGGAACATTTATTGATCCCATATTGTCTATGCAACAGCTAGAGAGAAACACGAACAACATCCTAATCAGAGTGTTCTGGGATCAACTTTATTTTAGGTTTAAAAAATTAAAAATTAAAATTAAATCTTTAAAAATAAAGTAGGATTTTTTTAGTAAAAACATGTTGAATCCAACATTGCCTTTTTAAGGTAAAAAATACCCTGAAAAAGTTGAGTTAAACATAGGAAAAAATAATCCACTATAACCTAAATTAGTCAAATAAGTAGTACATTTATTAGCTTCTTAAAAAGCATGCATGGCCAAGGACCATTATCCATTCTTGACCAAGGACTTCATGCTACTATTATTATTATTGATATTTTTTAATGGGAATCCATATCAACTTTAAATTATCTTTCAACATTAAATTGAATTTAGAGAAGAAGAAAAAAACTGAAATATACCCCAATTGCAAGGCCTATTTCTGCAGATGCAAACAAGACTCCCAAGAAGGCTCCAGCACAAGCAAGGAAATCCATTTTATCAACCTTCCAAATTTCACATGCTTTGTTTAGGTCAATCAGTCCTGGCACAGCCGAAAGAATTATTGCTGCTAGGATTGCTTTCGGAGTGAAATACAGAAGCCCCGTCAAAAATTTAAGTGACATGAGCACTGTGAGTGCCATCACTATGTTGGACACCATAGTTTCAGACCCAGCATTGTAGTTTACAGCCGTACGTGACAATGACCCTGCATGGTTACAAACTTAGAATTAACTATGCATTCTCCAATTAATCAATGGGACAAGGAATAAGACGTGTACACAAGTTATTATAATTGGATAACACTATGGACATTACCTGATGCAACGTAACAAGAAGTGAAGGATCCAACTATGTTCATTATGCCCAAGGATACCACTTCTCTGTTGGGATTAATACTGTGTCCTCTTAGAGATGCAAATGATCGTCCAACAGCAATAGATCCCTATGGTTGTACAACAACAAAGAGGCACATATATATGAATAATTAGAAACATTATATAATTATATTAATTAATAGGAAAATAAATAGATTTTGAATATGGGGGCACCCTACTTACGGTGAGTGAAATAATAGAAATGATGAAGGCTATTCTAATCAAATGACCCACAACTCTGGCATCAAATGTTAACAGGTAGAGTGAGCTTGGATTAAAGCCACCTCCTTTAATTGGTCCCAAGACTTCAACTCTGTAGTCCTTCACGTGATGCTCTCCAACATTTAATTTGTATGCAATAACAGAGGATACAATAACAGAAAGGAGGGGTGCAACGTGTGACAACCAGATGAGTTTCTTGTTCCTTTTGCCCTATTTGGGTACGCAACAATATACTTAATTTTAAGTTTAGGAAATTCAGATATAAAAATAAAATATGCAACAGTACTAACCAGGAATCTGGTAAATAGGATGAAACAGAGAAATGAGATTCCAATAATGAAGTTGTAAGGGTGCCACTCTGACTGAAAAAATGTGAGTGAAAGAAAGATTAATAATTAAGGAAGTAGGAAAAGAAATAATGAGTGAAGTTTTGTTAATCACTTTGTTTTTGAAGGATGTCCAAACAGCTTTGAGGACAGAAAACAAAGCAGTTTTGTTGGTAAAGTTAACGATCCCAAATAATCCTTTCAGTTGTTGAAGTCCAATGCCGACGGCAGCTGCTGCCAAGAAGCCGACGATGGTGGCTTGGGAAAGATATTCGACCAGAAAACCCAACCTGTAATGTAACAATGTCAATCACCCATGCCATGACAATAACTATACGCGCCCTTCACAACATAAGTAACTAACTCCACAAGAGAATTTCTTCACTAACATATTATCATATTATTTGAGAGGCTACCGGTAGAGTAATTATAATTTTATTTTATATTTTATATTTTAATAATTTATTTAAATAATGTTTATGATATTTTATTCTTTAAAATTTTAAATTATTTAGTCATTTTATTTTATTTTATATATTTTAATTTTATTTGTAATAATATTATTATATATTTAAATAGTTTAATTTTAATAAATTTTTAAGTATATTTTTGTCTTTTACTATTTATTAATTCTTTTTTTTTTAATGTTTTATAACATTATTGAAATCTTATAATTTTAATCTCTATAATTTTATCTTACTTTTCATTTTATAAATATAATTTGGATTATTTATTTTATAATTAAATTAATTTTTTTTTTAATTTTTATAAGTTTACATAAAAGAATGTACTAAAACCTCTCTATCTTTGAGGGTACCGTAGAAACTCACACTTAACAAATTCTTCCTTTCAGAAAAACTTATTTTTATATATATATTTTTAAGATTTTATAACTTAAAAGTTTATTTTTAAAGGATATATAAATATAATTATTTTTAAAAATTTTATTTCTAAAAGAATATATTTTATTATAAAAAAGATATTATTATAAATTATAAAAAAAAATTTCACTTTAAGACTTTTATAAAAATAATTATATATAGTTAATTTTGGGGTATATCACAATATATTTCAATATTTTATTCCTTATCTCTTTAATTTCTCACTTTCATATTTTATTTTATTATATTCCCTCTGTCTCATGTTATTTTAGATTATTTTACACATAAATAAATAAATGATAATATTATAAAATTAATCTTATGGTTAATCTTCTTTATTATAAATGATACATTAGTAACAATACAATAATTACTTTCTAAAAATATTATAAAGATATAAATGAAAAATAAGTAATTAATATTATATTAAAAAATTAATATAAAACTTTTAATGTATAATATAATTTATACATTAAAAATATTTAATTGTTACAAATTTTAGTTATTTAAAATAAATTTTAGTTAAAATACCAGGTTCTCTTCAAAATAACATAATTAACTTCATCGTAACTTAATCCAGTCATTGCTTTATTTAATTTTATTTTACTTTCACTAATTGTTATTTTTTCTATTTAGAAACTTTCTTATAAAAAAAATATTAATATTTTTATTATCCTAAATCATGAGAATTTCCCCTTATATAAAATAATAGAGTTCTAATTTTTAAGAACATAATAATACATATCTATTACCGTGCTCTGATATTAAAAAAAAATGTGAATTCATAATTATTTAACACTTTTTTTTATATAATATTTATATTTTTCAAATAAAAAATTAATTTAAAATTGTTTATATTAAAATATATTTTTTCCTAAATTTCAATTTTCTTTAAAATAATTATTTTTAACATTTTATTTTTACGTTATTGTTTTCTTAATTTTTTTTCTCAAATACTCAATTATTTGTACCGTTAAAATATTTTGTTTAAATTTTTAAAAACTAATATTTTTCCTAAAAGTTAGTTACGTATATTTTTTTTGTTTATTAAATAAATAAATTATAAATATTTTTAATGTAAACCTAAATAATTTTTTTTATCATTTTAAGTGATATTTTAAAATTTTATTAAAATTAAAAATACTATTTTCATGAGATTGGTGCTCGCCTAATCATTATATTCGTGGTTAGCACTATGTAGCGGTTGTCGCAATACATTCCAAACATAAACCATATATATATATATATATATAAACAAATGTAATGACCTTTCGAATTGTTATATTATATATTTATATTTTTTCATTCATACTATTAAATTTTAACAATATATTCAAATTTATAATATTTATTAATAAATAAAATAATCAAAATATATTTTTAATATATATTTAAAATTTTGATATCATAATATTAAATTTAATTGAAATTAAGTATTTGTTAAATTTTAATAATTTAATAATTTTAGCAATATATGATATTTTATAAATTTTAAATATTTACTAATTAAAAATAAATATTAATAAATCATATATCAATATTGATATATATATATATATATATATATATGTAAAAAAAATATTGACAAATAAAAAAAAGATAAGAGAAAAATAAATAAATGAGGTGAAAAAAAATATGAAAAGAAGAATATATGAGAAGAAAGAAGAAAAAAAATAGAGAAAAATTAAACGATTTAGGAAAGAGATTTAGGAAAGAGAGGGAGGAGAAAGAGAGAGGAAAGATAAATTGAGAGTTAGAGAGAGCATAGATAAATGAGAATTTTTTTTATGAAATTTTAATAATTTTGATGAAATTAATGAAGAAATGAATTATAGATAAATTTTATTAAAAAAAATTTCACAAAATTTAACCATAAAAATAATTTATTAAATTCTGTATGTTTTTTAATACTAGTAAGCTTTTTAATTAAATATGAAAAAAAGTGTTAATTAAATATCATAAAATTTTAACATATTGTTAAAAAAAATCATGATTATTTTAATTAAAAGTGTATTTTTATCTTAAAAATTTTAATTATCTTAAATGAATATTATATAATTTTTTTTATATCACACGACTTTTTATATTTAAAAAATCTTTTAAAAGCTCTTAAAAATAAACGAAAAAAAATAATGGAAATAACTTCTTTTCTCTTAAAACTGTAAGAACAAAATCAATTCATCACTTATATATATATATATATATATATATAAAAGTGTAACGATATCAAAGGTTTTTGATTTTACAAGTGTAAATAGAAGTAAGAGGATATATAGCACTGACCTAAAGAAGCCGAAAGCAACTTGAAAGATGCCCGCAAAAAAAGTAACTGTGAAAACAAGCTGAGTGTATGCAATAGAATCATGAATTGGCACTTTCAATGTCTGAATCATTGAGGAAATTAGCAGTGAATCCACAGATCCAGGTCCAATCACTATCTCCCTTGAACTCGCTAGCAACGCATAAATAAAAGGTGGCACAATGCTCGTATCTGCAGATCAGTAAACCATCATCCACAATTTAGAACCAATAATATTGTCCATGCCTAACTCAAATGTAACTATTCATGCAACTTACAGAGGCCATATTCAGGACTTAGTTGCGCCAATGTCGCATTTCCCATACACTGCAACACCAAATTTAGTCGAGTAAGTCAGTAATTATATCATGGGTCCAAATTACAAATTTTAAGTAATATCATCCTGCATTTTGTCATTTTCATTATGTTATATAATCAATGTGCATTTCTTAGTGAATATAGGTCATCTCCAGCAATAAGCTAAAGATTAATTCATCGATGTTCACATACTCAAACTCATCTTTAACCACATTCTTAATGGATAAAGTTATTTGTTGATCATGTTATATTATTATTTTACTTGATACATTTTTCTAATTATATTATCAGTGAAAAGTATTTCTTGGCTTTATTCGTGGGAAAATTTAGTTGATTGTCTTTAATGGGTCTCTTCTCTTATTTCTATTTTTTTCTGCTTGTGATGATGATATGGATGACTAGTTGGTTAATGCGATAATATTAGTAATAATGCAGGAGAAGAAGGCTAAAATTAATGGCATAAGAAGATATATTTATATCGTACCTGAGGAATGGCGAAGATTGCAAGGGTAAGACCAGCCATGAAATCGCACTTGAGCTTGTGGGTATTGTAGTCTTGGAAGGAAGCGAGAATGGGAAACAAGTCCTGGAAGAAGGCGAAAGCGCGTTTGGAAAAGGGCTGATTCCTGAGAGAAGAGAATGCGTTTGGATTTGGATGGGGTAAGAGGGTGTCCTTGACGTTGTCCACAATCTGATGCAACATGGAAGGTGGTTCTGGAGGATTCAGCACCCACTGAGCATGCATCTTATTCTTCTCAATGTCAAGAACTTCTTCTAACGTGCTTTTGTTCGAAACAACCATCTCTGAATTACTAGAGCTCCTGCACATTGATCAGGAACCTAGTGCTCGCAGAGATGTTGCTTCACTACCTACTAGTACTCCCTCATTCTAGTTATACTTGTTACTTGTTATACACCCCATGCACCACTAAAATATTTTTAATATAACTTATAAAATACTTTTTACATCACTAATGCTTGTGTAAAATATATTGATGAGCCACTAAAAACCATGTGAATAGAATATAAAGAGGAATCACCGTAAAAGAATCTGATTAGTTGAATTGAAAAGGATCCAGTTGGACCCATTATTTTACAAGTTGAATTCAATACATATGTGTCTCTCAATTTGATGTTGAGGGCGATTACAAAATTTATTTATTTCTTTATATTATTATTGCACAACGCAGGCATCTTCATATTAAAATAAATTAAGGTGCTTACCGCTTTCTAATTAGAATAATATTTTTTAACGGTTTATACAAATTTAATGAGTTAAATTCTTTTTCTAAGCTAAATAAACACACACAAACAGGAGGGGAAAAAACACAAGAGATACTCTATACTACTGTTGGTGTTTTAAACTACTTCTGTGTAATATGATGTAAAATAAGAAACTTTGTTCAAAAATATTTGACGAATTTATGATTAATCATGTGTAAATTAAATTTGCCGTTTGATAATTCTGTGTGACCTAACAACCAATAAAAGAATAATTAATCTTGCAATAAGAAAATATCCATCATTTAATTAAGAAAAAAAATGTTTTTCAAAGATAGTAAAATAAAACATCCTTTAATATATATATATATATATATATCGATATCAGAAAAAAAAAAAAAAAAACTTGTCTGTTGTTGATGCAGAAAGGAAAAAGGTCCATAGAAAGTATTAATCTATATTACAATTTGCGGGGTGTGAAATTCTGTGAATCTACCTGTTAAGCAATTAAGGAGACATTGCGAGCTAAAAATCATTTTTTCACTTATTTATTTTTGCTTTTAATTCAGTTGGTTTGGTGCATTACTAAAGTTTGATAAAAATCGTTGATAACTTAAAAAAAAAGGTAAAAAATTAAGTCGAAATTCATCGAGTTGTGTTTTTAAAATAAACATATTTATATAGAGAGAAACTAAATTATACACGTATCATCCAATCACAAATCATAAGAATTACAAACAAAAAAAACTATATAAAAAAATTAGTCTATTACTAAACAAATCAAATTGTTTTAAGAAGAAAATCAAACCAAATTATTTTGTAAAAATGGTTCAGTTTAATCGAACCACTTTTATAAAGTATTCGATATGATTTGGTTTGATTCTTTGAGAAAATTGAATCATATAAATATAAATTGGTTACTAAACTGAACATTTTGAAATAAAGAAAAAATGAACCATTATTGAAAAAAAAATCAAAACTAATATGCTCCGTATAAAGCGGTTTGATTAATTAGTGCATTGTCCTATCAAATATGTTTGATCAATTTTACAATAAATAATTAATAATAACTAAAATGTCATATAACAATAGTTTTTATTGGTTGATAATGTTTTATATTCCCACTGCATAATTATTAAGCCTTTATAGATAGTTATTAGTTGAATTTAATTTTGAAACAATGGCTAATTTGACACAAATGAAAAAAACGTAATGTAAAATTATTTAGTAATTCTTTTTTAGAGACTTGGAAAAATGAAAGCTAATTTTTAAGTAATGAACCTCAAACCACGTATTTATATAATTATTTCTCCACAATTTTTCCCACGATTATTTGCTCCTTATATCATAATATATTAGTTTCTAATAAAAAATAATAATGAGAGAAAAAAATGTGTTATTGTTGTTATTATTTGTTAGCTACCAACTAGTAAATTATTGGAATAGATTAATAAAATACTGAATAATACTCTTTATATTTCTCTCTATTTTCATATGAAAAATACAATGCTAATTTTTTGAAAAGGAGCAGTCATATGCTAACGACTACATAAAATCAACCCTACATTGGTACATCAAGACACTAGATGAAAAAATGAAATAAACATCCCAAAGGTCCAACACATAAAACAAATAATTAACAATAATCTTTTAACCATAAGGGAAGTTGAGTTTTTCTCTTGGGCCTTTTGGATCCATTTGCTTCTAACTAGGCCTTTAGTGTGCTATTAATTGAGATGAAGTGTTGAGAAAAGTAGACACATCCTGTAGTGGTGAATTAAGGGTGAAAGAGAGATGTGGTTGAAATTGAATGTGTTTAGTACGTGACACATGAAAAAAGGAAAGTGCAGATTGGATGAAGGGGCGATGTTATTGGAAACTCGAGAACGAGGATTCAAAAAGGAAAAAGGAGTTCATATGCAACCATACTGATGTGTTTGGAGATCATGAAAGGGCCATAGTATCTTATGAGTTTGTTGGACGATCATAAAGGCCTTGGAAAGAAGTCACCACTGCGACGAATTGTACTAGTATTCAACTAAGTGTAAACAAAAGTACCATTCCCTGGGGTAGTCACTAACAAAACAATGTCACGTAAGTAAGCTTCCAAACCTCTGTTTGGCTGTCTGTTTGGGGGTGGTAGGCAGTGGTATATTTGAGTGTGGTGCCTTGAGCCTTAAATTATTCTTTCCAAAATGAACTAAGAAATATAGGGCCTCTATCTGTTAGGATGGAACGAGGAACAGCATGGAGGTGACAAATTTCAACTGAAAAACAAAGGGTTAGAGTATGAGTCATGTAATGAGTGGGCAGAGCAACAGAGTGCATGAACTTTGTTAAGTGATCACAAATCACCTAGATTGTTGTATCCAAAGGAAGGGCTTGAAGTAAACCAGATTTTTTTGTTGGTAAATATTTATTATGTTGGCATGTGATGCAAGAGGGAATGAAGTGTGAAGGCTAGTCCAATAAAATGAGGCTATCTAGCGAGCAACTATAGGGTTTAAGTCCAAAATATCCAATCAAAGGTGTGGAGTGGTATTCAGTATGAGTGATGATGAAGATCTTGAAACTCAAGAACAAATATATTTATTTTTGAAGAACACAAGCCCTTTCGACACATGAAAAAAAATCATGTAAAGAAATGTCTTCTTTAACTTTTTATGAAAAATTGTTGTCCATTTATATGAGATTGATAATATTGGTGTAGGGTGTGTAGGATAATGGGAACTGAGGAAGATGTAGTCATGAAGAAAACTAAATCTAAATCAGGTTGAGAGAGTGTCAGCAACTTGATTTTGTTTTCTGGGTCGGTAAAAGATCTCATAACTATATCCCATCAATTTAGTAGTCCATTTTTGTTTTTTTGACATTGTATTAGCTTGTGTTAAAATAGTCTTTAAACTTTGTTGGTCTATGAGTATGTGGAAATGTCGACCCACCAAATATTAATGCCATTTTTTAACTGCTTTTGTTATAGCATATAGTTCTCTAGTGTAAAAGGCAATGGAGTGGTCCTCTTGTGATAGAATTGCACCAATAACTTTGGTAGAGGCATTTATTTCCATGCTGAAAACTTGAGAGAAATCGGGCAACGTTAGGATTGAAGTAGATGTTAAAGCATTTTTTAATTGTGTAAAGGAAATGTTAGCATCCTTAAACCATTTAAATAATTTTAATTTTAAAATATTAATGTGAGAAGAGGCAAGAGTGGCATAAACTCGAATGAAGCGATAATAAAAATTGGTAAGACCTAAGAATCCCCATAAATTTGTGTGATTGTGGCAAGGGCTAGTCAATGATGTTGTTATTTTTTAGGGTTAGGAGCCACTCCAACTCTAAAAATAGTATGGCCCAGATAAGCTACCTTGGAAACTATAAAAACACATTTAATAACTTTGACAAAAAATTGATAGTAACAAGTAACTTTAGGATAATATGTAAATGATTGAGATGATCATAATAAAAAAGATTTGTTGTAAATGAGTGTCATAAAAAAAATTAAGACAAATTTGTGTAAAAAAGGTCTAAGAAGATCATTTGTGGCAGGTTGAAACGTAAAAAGGATGTTAGATAATCCAAAAGACATAACTAAAAATTCATAGTGTCCATCGTAGGTACAAAAAGTCATTTTGAGTGTATCAGGGGAAAATAAACTTATTTGGTGATAACACAACCAAATGTCAATTTTGGAGAAAATGATAGCTTGGCCCAGTTCGTCAAGAAGCCCATCCACTGTAGGTATAAGAGACCTGTCATGGATAGTGATAACATTAAGGACTCAATAGTCAACACAAAACTCTAAGAATCATTTTTAACCAAAATCATCGGTGACGAGCAAGGACTACAACTAAGAATAATAATCCCTTGTTGAAACATTTCTTGTATAAGGTAAGCCATGATTTCCTTTTGGAAATATGAGAATCTATAGGGACACACATTTACTGAAGGGGTTGATGGAACCAAATTAATGTGGTGGTCATGAGGTCGAGGGGGAGGAAGTCCATGATAAGTGTCTAATTAGTTTGATGAAATTTAAATTTGAGACACTTATCTAGCATACTTTTTGTATATATATTGATATAATTTTGGCAAATACATTAAGAATCAAAGAGAGGCTCTTAATTTACATTATTACATGGAGTGATGAGTTTTTGAAAAGATTTTCCTCTTATTTTGTAGTTTTTGAAATCTGGAGGCAAACGGCTGAGCGTCTTGAAACGGCTGAGCGCTTTCAAGCCAGAGAGCTCAACAAATGTAGCAAAGGAGAGGCGCTCAGCCACTTTAAGGCACTGAGCGGTTTTGGCCCTGGAAGAAGGAGTGCTCTTTGCCTCCTAGGCGCTCAGCGAATATGAAGCGCCCAGCCCCTTGTGCTTGCTTAACAATGAAGAATCTCTCAGGCGCTCAGCGGATTTGAACGGCTCAGCCCTTCAGATTACTTCATGGTGAAGAATTCTTCAAACCGCTTAGCTGTTTCAAGGCGCTGAGCGGATTCTTCTTTTTCTTACCTACTCTGTTTTAATTCTAGCACTTATAAAAGGGAGGAGGAGAGAGAAAAGGGGGAATCACAATCTGTACGAAGAGAAGAACATAGAGGAACCAGGAACAGAGCACTTTGGAGCTCGTGGGGACGATAATGCCATAATATTTGACAATATGGTAATATAACATTAAGTATGATATATTATTACATAATTTGTCACTCAGACTTTTATTTATATAATTAAGTATCTTAAATTATGATTTCTTGATAATTATAAACAATACATATTCATTGACTTGGTGAAAATCTAAGATTTGATGTAGATGTTGTGATGGTTAAGCTTGGCCCAGAGTTAATTCCTTCTAGATTTGATAAGTTATGATTGACCTCAACAAGCTTTTTCAATAGATTTTCACCCTAGAAATGAACATGAGTTGTATTTCTTCTATTTTTTAGTAGAATTTGGTGTGCACTTGGCTGTGTGTAGATGTTATTCGAGTGACAAATTTGTTCGTTCTCCCAATTTAGTACGTTGAAATTAATCTCAAAAAGTGGAGTATTGTCTCTTGATCTTTGTTGAGAACACAATTGTTTAGTTTCAACTCCTCTAATTGATATATTTGCAATCTTTTCGCGTAGCACATTTTTTCTTTTCAAACGTGCTTTAGCAGCAACTTCTTTAGTTAAATTTTGTTCATTGTCCATTTCCATGCCTATGAGAGATTCTAACATAAAATAATGCCATAATATTTGACAATATGGTAATATAACATTAAGTATGATATATTATTACATAATTTGTCACTCAGACTTTTATTTATATAATTAAGTATCTTAAATTATGATTTCTTGTCATATGATATATTGTTGCATGATTTCTACTTATGAAGGTAGAGATCTGCTAGATTTCCTCCAACTCATACAAACTAATATTTACTACTCTGCTTTATAATGATGTTGGTGGATCAATTGGGAAATTATTCTATTATTTATAATAGACATGTTTTCATAAGTTAGAAAAATCACTAAAACAGTGTCAATGCCAATCAACACTCTTCTATCAACAACATTTAGTAATTATGAATATATGATCAATGATACTAATAGAAACCATGCCTATGAGAAATTTAAACAAAACAATGTCTTAAAATTTGACAATATGGTACTATAACATTGAAATATGAAGTTAAAGTAGCATTGAGTATGATTTCTTGCTGCATGATTTCTTGCTTGGACTTCTATTTATAAAGCTAAGTATCTTATAATGATAGGTATATATATTGCTAAGGGATGAGTTGAAACTTACCGAACATCAATGCCTCTAGTAGTGACTCAGATGGAGTGGTAACTTTAAATAAACATGTCACTGAGCTTGCAAACACACATAAATAGTTGTTAATATTGTCATTCAATATTAATATGAAATTCGAGTTGCAAATAAACGCAAAAGAAACCAATTAATGGAGATGAAGATTAATGCAGTTGAAAGCGATGAAGATTAATGCATGTCTCTTGAACAGGTAATAACTACATTTTGATTAGCTAATAAAAAAATGTATTGGAGGAAGTAAAGTTAGGGAAGATGAAGTTTTGGGGTCTTTAAATAAACCTGTCACTCAGCTTGCAAACACGCATAAATAGTTTGCTAATGTTGTCATTTAAGATTAATATGAAAGTCAACAACATTTAGTAATTATGAATATATGATCAATGATACTAATAGAAACCATGCCTATGAGAAATTTAAACAAAACAATGTCTTAAAATTTGACAATATGGTACTATAACATTGAAATATGAAGTTAAAGTAGTAGATGTCCAAGCTTCAAGTAGGATCATCTGCATGCCCTCAACAGGTAATGAGATGTGATTTTTGTGCAGGTGATCATCCAAATGGACATTGCACCATCTCTGAACCAGACCAGGAAGAAGAAGTGAATTATATGAATAATCCAGGAAGGCAAGGGAATTTCTCTAGTAATTACAATCAGAATCAAGGCTGGAGGAATAATCAAAATCAGTATTCTAGTTGGAAGCAAGAAGCAGGGCCATCACAAAGGCAACCTCCACAAAAGCCATATCAGAATCAACCTTCTTATCAATCAGACAAGTTATCAAAAATGGAGGAAGCTCTTACATAATTCATGCAGGTTTCTATAACTAATCAGAAAAATACTGAAGCTTCTATCAGAAATCTAGAAGTACAAATAGGGCAGTTGGCTAAGCAATTGGCAAAACAGCAAAGCAATAATTTTTCAGCCAATACACATGTCAATCCTAAAGAGTATTGTCAGTCAATCACAACCAGGAGAGGCACTGTGATAGGAAAGGGGATTAGTGATAATTTGAGAGAAAATAAAGATGAAGTGGATGAAGATAAGAGTGAAGTTGAGTTGAAAAGTGAGAAAGAGATGGAGGTGGATAAAGAGGCAGAAAAAATTGAGAAAAATAAAAAAGAGAGTGAAAATGATGGAAGGAAAAATGGAGTTGTGAGGGAGGAGAGTAAGAAAAAAGGGAAAGAAGTTGTTAAGCCTCCTCCTGTGAAGAATTTACCATATCCACATGCTCCATCAAAAAAGACAAGGAACGCCATTTTGCAAGGTTCCTTGATATAATCAAGAGGTTACAAATCAACATACCATTTGCAGAGGCCTTGGAACAGATGCCATCTTATGCAAGATTTATGAAGGAGCTTCTGACAAAGAAGAGAAAATTGAGTGAGGATGGAACAATGGAGTTAGAGGCAGGTTGCAGTGCTATAATTCAGAAGTCACTTCCACAAAAATCTAGAGACCCAGGGAGTTTCACTTTGCCAGTCACCATTGGTAATCTTTCCGTGGGCAAGGCATTATTGGATTTAGGGTCTAGTATCAACCTTATGCCCTTATCTATGTTACAGAGGATAGGAGATGTGGAGGTGAGACCTACCAGGATGACTCTGCAGCTAGCTGACAAATCTATTAAGTATCCTCATGGTATTGTTGAAGATCTCTTGGTTAAGGTTGATAAATTTTGGTTTCCAGTTGATTTTGTTGTCATGGACATGGAAGAGGATTCTGAGGTTCCTCTCATTCTAGGTCAGCCATTCATGAAGACAGCTAAGGTCATTATAGATGTTGATGATGGCAAACTCAAGGTCAGGGTGCATGGTGATGAGGTGAATTTTAATATTTTTGAAGCTATGAAACACCCAAATGACAAGAAAGATTGTTTTAGAGTGGATGCGATGGATGGAGTGTGTTTGGAAGCTGAAAAAAAAATTTCATTAGCCACACCATTAGAGAAGACATTGAATTTTGATATTAAAGCTGGAGGTGAAAAGAGGAAGCTGCAACTTCATGAACTTGAAGAAATGCGTTTGCAGGCTTATGAATCCTCAAAAATTTACAAGAATAAAGGGAAATCCTACCATGACAGGAAAATTGTGTGGAGAAACTTTTAACCAGGCCAACAAGTATTATTGTTCAATTCCAGGCTGAGATTATTCCCTGGAAAGCTCAAGTCCAAATGGTCAAGCCCGTTTTTTATCAAATCAGTCAAACCGTTTGGGGCAGTGGAGTTGGAAGAGCCAAATTCTGGAAAATCTTGGATGGTGAATGGACAGAGAATTATGTCATATCTGGGTGGTGAGGTTGAGAAACTTACCACAAATTCTTCTCAATGATCCATGACTGAGTGAAGTGTCAAGCTATTAACAATAAAGAAGCGCTTACTGGGAGACACCCCAGCCATTTTGGTTTGAATTCTCATTTTCATTTTAGTTTAATCCTTTACATATGTAGTCATACTTTTGAAGAGTTGAGTTTGTGATTTGATGTTTTGATGATGCATTCTATCAAATGTTTTGTTCCTTCAACATTCTTTTCTCTTGTGTTATGCTTTTTATCGTTCACTGAAGGTAAATGGAAGTGAGAGTGTGAAAGGAGAACAAAATGTGCCTCTTCCAGGTAAGTTTACAAAACTGACAAAACGGCTCAGCCATTAAAAATGGCTCAACCGTTTGGCTGCAGTATCTCATTTTTAGTTAAATTTTCCTCCCAGGGGAAAACGGCTCAGCCATTTTTAAGGGCTCAGCCCCTCATATCAGCAAAACATTTTGGTTGAGAATTCTGCATCAAACGGCTGAGCATTTTCAAAGCGCTCAGTGCTTTTCTTTATATTGCTCACTGCACCCAAACGGCTGAGCGCCTAGAAAGGGCTCAGCGTCTCAAAATTTTTTTTTTGAGAAAGACCAATCCAAGAACAGAAAAGAAGTTGTCCATTTATTTGTCTTTAATTCCCAATACTTTCAAACTTGGTCTTCTCATTTTCTCTCGCTTTCTTCTCTTCCACACACACCATCATTCTCTTTGATTCAAGGTAAGTTTCAAGCTCTCTCTTTTGATTTCTGTTGTGCCTTCATGCAAATATCTCATTAGTATTTGATGTGTTTTGTGTCCTCTTGTGGTGATGACAAAATTCTTTTTGGGAATCAAATTGATAATCTTTCTAGAATGAGCATTTTCATGGTTCAAGTTTTCAATAAGCACTGTTTGCTAATCTAGAAATCTACATTGTTGCACAAGTGGTTGTACATTTTTGACTTTAAGTATGTGCTTCAAGCGTGTCCAAGTGAAATTGAAATGAGTCTGAAGTTGTTGATGTCTAGGGCACTTAACCAAACCGTGTGAGTGAGTGGGCCAAACAGTAAAATTCAATCTTTGAGAGTCATCACTGATTCATGCGGTCAGTTTTGTTTGAGTCTCCCATGAGTTACAGTTAAGCTATGCATGGAATTTACTAAGGCAGTTGTTTTACTTAGCCAGTAGCCAAAAAGCAAACCTATGAATTACATTGACCATTGATCAGCAAATTGGACCCTAAACAGAACCCCTAAGCTTACAAAGAAAAACCATGATTGTCCTTGAGCCTTGATGGTAAGAGACATTCTCATGAAACAAGTGGGTTTGAACCAAGTTGGGGGTAAAATGTGTGTAGTATTCATGTGGTTAGAATTGTACAGGCAAAGTGTTGTATTTATGTATATATATTACTCTAAAAAAAATAAAATAAAAAATAAAAAAATTTAGAAGCTAATTTTGTAATTAAGGTTCCTTGTTACCATTTCATCAATTTGTGGATATTCTGAAAGAGAAGGAACCAGTAAATTCAATCAAAAGAGGGATGAGACATAAAGAGTCAAGAGAGTTCAAGCTAGTGCAAGAATTTGACATCAACCTATATGAGTGAGAATGTCTCTTGTCAAATAGGCCTTTAGATTCCCAAAGAAAAACCAAATCTCTGATAGCCAGGCCACATTACAACCCTCTTTAAGTCCTTAGTGATTCCTGTTTAGTTCTAACAATAGACTTGTGGGAGATGAATAACAAAGCAGACTTAGCAGGTTTTGGTGCATGAAAAGAGAGAAACACTCACCCTTCACAACATATCATTGAGAGATACACAATTGTGAGGAAAATTTTAGTGCCTTTGATTGAAAGCAATGGAGTTGTGAGGGAGGAGAGTAAGAAAAAAGGGAATCACAAAACAGCAAGATGAAAGGTAGAAGAAAGAGATCCTCTGAAGAATCGCGTCCTCACGAGCTCCAAAGTGCTCTGTTCCTAGTTCCTCTCTGTTCTTCTCTTCGTACAGATTGTGATTCCCCATTTTCTCTCTCCTCTGCCCTTTTATAAGTGCTAGAATTAAAACAGAGTAGGCAAGAAAGAGAAGAATCCGCTCAGCGCCTTGAAACGGCTGAGCGGTTTGAAGAATTCTTCACCATGAAGTAATCTGAAGGGCTGAGCCGTTCAAATCTGTTGAGCGCCCGAGAGATTCTTCATTGTTAAGCAAGCACAAGGGGCTGGGCGCTTCATATCTGCTGAGCGCCTAGGAGGCAGAGAGCAGTCCTTCTTCCCGGGCCAAAACCGCTCAGCGCCTTAGAGTGGCTGAGCGCCTCTCCTTTGCTGCATTTGTTGAGCTCTCTGGCTTGAAAGCGCTCAGCCGTTTCAAGGCGCTCAGCCATTTGCCTCCAGATTTCAAAAACTACAGAATAAGAGGAAAATCTGATCAAAAACTCATCACTCCATGTAATAATGTAAATTAAGAGCCCCTCTTTGATTCTTAATTTATTTGCCAAAATTATATCAATATATATACAAAAAGTGTGCTAGATAAGTCAAATTTAAATTTCATCAAACTAATTAGACACTTATCAGTCCATTGGGTGGTTGAAAAGGTGAAGAAAAAATGTCTAAAAGCTGGGTATTTCCCAAAGGTTGAGAAGATGAGTTATTTATTGGTGCTTGTAAGGATTGAAAGGAAAGTAAGTGGAGTGACGCGACAGAATCAATGTGTTAAAGGTGGAAAAATTGGTTAAAAGTGGGATGAATGCATTGAGTCATAGGGTCTTCTTTGATGGTAATAGTAGACTCGTTATGTTTAAATAAGATGGCAAGAATGGAGAAGTTTGCCTCTAATGGTCCTACAGATTGGAGCCATTCAATACCAAGCACCATATCTTCTCCTTGTATAGGTAAAAGATAACAAGGAATATGAAAAATATGGTTCTAAAAAACCAAAGGTGTATTTCGACAAAGGATCGAGCAAGTAATGTGCTTACCATTATCGACCATCACAAAAACAAAGGGGTGGAAGTTGTATGTAGGTGTAAATGTGAAGCTAGAATTGGTTGTAATACATTGTTAGAGCTCCTCAAATCGATAAGGATCATTACTGAAATACCATGGATGGAACCCTAAAATTTTAAAGTTTAAAGAGATGGTGGGCCAATAAGAGCTTGTGGGGATAATTGTAAATGAGTGGAATCAAGTAGGGGATCGAGGGCCATTGGTTGGGCAAGCTCAAGGTGGTCGGTGGACAAGGGTTGCTGGGCAAAGTGATATTATGCCAACAAAATTAGGGATTTAGGAATGGCGCACTTGTGACCTTGATGAAAATTTTCATCATAGTAGTAGCATAATCTAGTTGTTCGTCATTCTTGTAGTTGAGCTTGGGATAGTCATTTGATAGGCAAGGAATAAGATAAGAAATGACTATAACTGATAGGTGAAGTAAGAGTGGCTGAGGTGGTTGTGGAAGTTTTGGGTTACTTAGTGAAAGTGGTCGAACCCTTAAAATATTTAGGTTTAGAATCTTGAAGTTTGTCTTTTATGAGCTTTGTTAAACCAACAGCTTCAATGATAATAGACCTAAAAAGAAACAATTTAAAATAACAAGAGAAGGTAGACCCACAATATAATTACATAATTTTCCAAATTGAGCTTGATATTCAAAAATAAGGTCAATTTGGTGCAATTTGAAGAGCTCGGCCATGTGATTGTTATAGGATAATGATCCAAAATGCAACTCGATAGCCCATGTAAAATTAGGCCGATCAAAGAGATGATTGCTCAATGCATCCATTTGAACCAACTACTAAGTATTTCTCCTTTCATATGAAAGGAATGATAGAAAGATGTTGATCTCATGGTATTTGGTGGAACATGAAAAATTGTTCGGCTTGAAAAAACCAGTCTAGTGGGTTGAAATCATCAAAAGGTAAGACTTAAAGTTTTGGAAGTCATATAGACAAAGACATGATCGAGTGTGCGGGTTGATGAAAATGGGGACTACGGTGATCGAAAGTCGATGAGGTATAGTTGTAAACGTAGGTTGGGAAAATTGGAAAAGAGGCGAGGGATCCATGGAAAAGATGTTAGGAAACAAATTGTAATAATGACATAGAGGTTGGTGGATTGTTCAAATTCATAGGTGGAACAAAGAGAATATCAATAAAGATTGATTGTGATATGAAGGAATTGGGTGGAGTGTAAGAAGAACCAATCGAGCTAATAGCAACTTGAGCACACATAAGAACTCTGGCGATTGTAGAAGACTCGTGTTGAGTACTCTAGAGTTGTAGATTGTTGTCTAGTTAGGTAGTTAGAATGCTTAATGATTCTACCGAGGCATGAAACGTCTCCTCAATGCGCTTGGGATATTGATCCTTGGAGGTATTTTTGGGAGGCATGGCAAGCCACACCAATTATTAGCTACCAACTAGTAAACTATTGGAATAGACCGATAAAATACTGAATGATAGCCTTCATATTTCTCTTTATTTGTATATGGAAAATACAATGCTAAATGAGAAAAGGAATAACAATCATATGCTAACAGTTGCATAAATTCAACTCTGCATGTATACATCAAGACACTTCTTGGAATGATAAGATAAGCATCCCAAAGGCCCAACACGTAGAACAACTTGTTAATAGAAATCTTTTATCTATGAGAAGATAGAGTTGAGCTTTTCGACCTTTTGAATCCATTTACTTCTCACCAGGTCTTTTATATTGTTTGGTACAATAATTACACCTATGTTTGAGAAAAGTACTTTACACATACTGCCAAGTTCCTTTTAAAAAAAATTCTTTAGCATTTCTAATTTTTACTGCTCAAGAC